ACACACACACACACACACACACACACACACACACACACACAAATCCATGCAAAAAGGAACAAATGGTAAAAATAACGATGCGACCCGCTACAATAGAATGTCATTCGTGTCACCCCACGCGTCACCTGCTTTGCTCTGACCACATTGATACCTGGTTTGGTGTGTTTTTTGGATATATTTCAAATGGAGGTACCCGTTAATGTAAGAGTTAACGTCCCCGCCTCCCGCGATTGGCTGGTTGTTGGTTACCACCCGTTACCTGCATGTATCGAAGATCTCCACATAGTGTTCAGAAACAGTGGTCACTTTTCAGAAACCCGCCGTGCTATGGATACGTTGTTATGTCTAATCATGCGCATTTAATGACCCAGAGAACAATATCAGAATATTCGGCACGATTGTGCTACATGTGGGAAAGACATCCTCAAAGCAGCTTTGAAGGAGGGGGACGTACCGACGATCTTCCCCGTCGCGTCGACTCTTCTATCAGGGGAGGCCTAATCAGTTTGAGAGCACGTGGGAGAAAAGGCATGCATAGCGCATAGCCATGCATCTACCTGGATGGCCAGCTTCCGCTTCAGGGCCTAAACTTCCCCCAGGGCGGGCACAGCCACTGGGGCTACTTCCTTTCTGCGTTATTCACGTGGGATTTACGAGCAGGTATTGCATCTGGGTCCCTCTCGGGATGAAATAGTTAAAACTTCTAATTTTATCACTTTATCAATGTACTATGATGAATTATTGTCGTCAAATTATATAAACAAAACATTATGATAAAATATGCAGACGGTAGCTTCTGTCCTCTCGTCTCACGGGGCATCCCTACACGATACTACAAAGTAATGCTAGGCGGTGTGAATCAGAGAGAAGCAACATTTGTTTACGCCTTCAACTTTACTCTGCGGACTTGCGCTTTGCCACAAGTTCGCAGATGCTCGCAATTATGACAACAGAAACAATGCATTTTGCACAGACAGGAGATGCAGCCCGGCTGACATGTTTGGCATACAACCTCGACAGGTACTAAAGCGCTCTGTTTTACCTTCGTTGCATATGAAATTAGCCAAAGCCAGTCAAGATTCTATAGCACAAAGTGTGTTGTCCAATCGTATGGCATTCATGTTTCATAGGAACTCAGGTTATTGAGAAAAGCCGCATTATCCTAGCGAGTCCGTCGATGAGATGCCTTATCTGGTAAGAAGTGTAGTCCCCCGCGAGTACGTCAGTGGTTGCTGGGTTCTCATAACCTGCAGATTGAGTAGACGTGGTTTGAGGGGTATCGGTTTTTCCTCTTGGAGCAAAATTTTGTTTTCTCTCGTGCGGGTTTTTCGTCGATATGCTACGCGCTGTGACATAAAAAGCGCGCCCACTTGGAAGGGCGGCGCCAGTGGGCTTGGACAACCGCTTCGTGTTTCTTGAAGCATGGAACGATTTGGGTGCTTCTCGTGGTTTAAGAGCCGTCATACTTTACGCGAAAGTACCTTTCCGTTAAGCATTTTCGACTTAGTTATAATGATCCTGATAATCAAGACGTAAATCAGCACTCATAAGATTTATAAACACAAGAACGCGGAGCTTCGACGCAGCCTACTTCGAGCTTTCGTACGTTTAGGCAAATGTGTTGGGCATGATTTAGCTTCTCCAAGTATATACGCCGTTCGTGGTGTTCGTCGTGCATTTGCCTTACCATGCCCATGTCGACAGGCTCTCTTAGTACCGTTATTAATAATGACCAACCCTACGCACAACAGCCATTGGTTAGTGCTGTGCCGACGGCGGTGACCTTAAGCTTAAGGAGGCCCCGACGTAAAGCATGAACATACTGTTTGACTTTTTACTGGTTGGGTTTGAGTTGCCTTCATTTGGCCAACTTGTAATGGGTGCACTCAACGCAAAGCAAGCTGCTCACATGATCGAACTGATGACAATGTCGCATTGCCGGCGACCTGTTGACGCGAAGAAGAAGGGTTTTATTTTAAGCCTTGTGAGAACACATTAAATCCGCGGCGAATGCCAGTGAGGAAACATGCAGCGCTAGTATTGTTGATAGATTTTTATGGACGAAATATTTGTTCTCATTACCAAAGACTCATTTTCTAACATATCATGATCACAAGCTGGCTTCCTTTGGCTCACACCACCTGGCTGGCTCACAGACACTGGGTTTTGGCCCAGGGCCATGTTTAGTGGGGCGAGCTTGCTTCTTCTACCACTATTGCACGATGTCTTCGCGGCGATGACCGAGTCCAAAAGTTACGGTACGAGGTATAGCGCGCTTCGGTGTGTTCACAAGACGTTCCGACCACAATGCGTCCTACCATTCCCATATCAAACGTATGCTGTAAACCTTATCTGTATTCCATCAAACAAAATAACTGATTTCACGTCAATAATCTAGACCTATATCAGGCTTCCAAAAAAGCGGAAAGGTGGCAACCAAACCTCGTCAATAATGCTCCAGCAGCATTTGAATTGGCAGCAGTAGCAGCTCTAGCAACAGCTCTAGTAACAGTTCCAGCACCAGCTCTAGCAGCAGCTTTAGCAGCAGATCCGGCTTCAGGTACAGGATCAAAAACAGCACAAGCAGGAGAGGGAACTACTGCAAGCAGAGCTGCTACATCAGCAGCACGTTCCAGCACACTCAAGGACTTTGGCATCGGAAGTGGTTGGGCCTGACACCAGGAGCGCTCTGCCATCTATGTCTGTTCGTGACGACGCTGTAGAGCCAGGAGATCGAGGAAAATCACCGACGTGCGACACGTCGCCTGCTTTGGCAGAAACTTCAACTGCATCGCACATCCCCGTTCGTACAAGGCGTCCTCCAGAAACGCCACCATGTAAGCTCCCCGCTTACATGGTGGTGGTGGCATGGCAAACTGACAGAAGTCAGCTTACGCGACTACTGAGCATGGAGACCGTCCTGGGAGGCCTACTACAGCTCTGTCAGCTTGCCACCTTCAGTCGTGAAGATCGGCTGACATTCTTACAGTCCGGCTGCACAGAAGACGTGCGTGCGACGTGTTGGCACGCGGTCGGCATCAACGAGGAGACTGGCACGGTTCAGCCCGCGTTGGACAAGATTGAGTAGCATCTTCGCCAGCAGGGTAATGTCCCAATTGACTGGGTGAAGTTGGAGGAGTTACAGTATGCGGAGGGTGTATCTTTTACTCATTCCGGGTCCCGATCAAACAGCTCGCCCCCGATGCCGAACTGTGCTTCTCATGCAAGGTCATAGAACAGAAGGTATAACCGTCCGGCCAAATTCCGCTGTTTCGACTGATGACGTCACAAGTGTACTCGGCACGTAATGGTCAACGGCGGATACACGCCTACCGCAGCCTGCTTGGCTTTTTGAAACGGTTCTGAGGCTGGAACCCGTTAAATATCTTTGGTTGGATCATAGCAAGACTATTCCTTCTCCGAACAGACCATAATATCAGCTCCAAGGTCTGCTAATCATTAATTGGCTGGCGTCCCAGCCGAGCGCCTCGGGCTGGAGAACCGGAGACAATACGCTCAGAAAACTTTTTTCGGTAATTCATTACCTAAGTTGGAAATATATATGCAAACGAAAAGAGTTAATGGGCGCATCTTGAAGAAACAATTAAAGGTCATCCTGACAAGAAAGGCCATGGTCAGGGCAAAGGTATGCAGACCCACGTTACATGTTTGCAGGGGCTGGGTCAATTGAGGCGTTTCATTTCTTCAAAAACTATATGCTCTTTGCCTAAGTGAAGATGCTGTGTTACGGAAATGTTGATGGCGTAATGTAGTCAGGTCAAGGTCATTCCATGGTTAGCGTGATAATTTGGCGCATTTATGCGACTCTGATTCAAAATATTTTCACATCCATTTTGCTCACGTTGTGCAGCCTAAATGTCAGCTAAAATTTGTTATAGTCAGCTCATACTCAAGATGTAGGTAGGATGCCAAGATGAGGTCATACGAGGTCAACATGACACGCAGTAGGACAGGCATGTCATGCATGTTTCCGGATTGCTTATCCCACAGAAATCCAAAAAATCAATTTTAATCTTGCATCGGGTCATCTTAGTGTCCAAAGAGATAAACACCTTTTGTTTGTCATAACCTACTCTGACCTTTGCAAGGCATTCAGCAGCCATGGGCGGGCTAGGGAGATTAATTTTCAACCTGCTGTGTAAATAACTACCACTCTGCTCATCTCTTGTCTTGAAACGCAATTTCATAATTTTCAAAAGAGGTAGAAGCTTCATTTTGCTGGCAATAGAGAAAAGTAAGCTTTTTAGAGATTTACAGCCACCTACGTTTGTTAAGAGGCCCTCCTTTTTTGTCCTTGAGTTCAGTATGATCCACTGCTTTAAGCCAACACTGAAATCGCTGCATTTATGATGAAGTGAACGTGAGCAGGATTGGCTAGCATAGGAATTGATTCGAGGGCCAAAAGTGGGTCATAAGTGGTCGACATATTACATGAAGTTCTTCAAAGGATCAAAAGATCCTCTCCCCCTCATTCTCGCCCGGACACATGCACTAAATATGGCGCATCGATGTCAGGACATAAATCTCTCAACATAGCATTATAACTGCAGAGTGGTGTAAAAACGGTGGGCAGCAACGAATTTAATATGTCGACAAGAATAAGAAGGCTGCAGTATGTATTATGCTGCAGCAGCCGAAAGACGGCTCAGCCAGGTCATATGATAAATTCAAGACTCAACAATGACCTGAGGAAGAAGTATCAGAAGACAAACAAGCACCGTCATTTGAAACTGTCACACAGTAAGAGCTGAACAGGGCATTCAGAAACGACAGCCATTCAGGTAAGCCATTTCACGCGCGGCACCCACGTCACTACTTTGCTCTTGTAAATGAACCGTGGAAATAACGACGATCGAGGAGCGTGTTGCTCGAGCAGTTACCTAACGCAACACACTAATGGTCGACGGCACGCGCCACCTGCGTCGAAGAGTGGGTGCCGCTAGCGCAGGCCATTCGCCGCCGCCGCCGCAATCACCCACCTGTCCGCGCGCGGTGGCAGGCGAGGGTCATTAGTGCGCCAACCAGAAACAGCCTTCGATCCGCCGTCACCGGCATCCTAAACATGCGTGCCACAGCCTGCCGCGCGCGCGTGCCGTGCCTGCCCCGACCTTCGCTATCCGACGCCACCGAGCGCGACTGCTGCGGCCGGTCGCGCCTCGGGGCGGTCAGAGGCCGGCTGGTCAGAGAGCTGTCGCAGCCGCCAGAGCCGGCGGCCGGCGGCGGCGCCGTGCGTGCCACGCGCCGCCGGCAACTCGATCAGCCTGGAGGCGGGGCGCGCCGCGCACGCCCCCGAAACGAGACCGGACCGGTCCTGTTACGGCGTCCCGGGCGGCAGTCGGCGCCGACTGCCCCGGCCATGGCCTATCGCCGCCGCCGCAGGACCAAGGTCGGGGGCGGGAGCGAGCGCTAGCCGGCGTCCGACCTCTCCGTCGGCCGCCCGGCAGACTGCCGTGAAAGGCGATAAAGGAGCATATGATATGCGCATGGGGTCTTGGGTGTGACACCACCACCCAGGAAAACACGGCTCCCGTCGCAGCCAGTTGGTGTCAGGCAGATATTCAATGCTTTGGTGCAGCTAACGCGACCTATCGGGGCAAAAAGCTTTCTTCTCCGCGTGACACTGCTTTTTTAGACGGTCCTTGCGCTGCAACATTTCTTGCGAGGTAAAATATTACGACCTCACTTTTGAAATGGGATGTGTCCAAGCCTAGGCGGAACAGTACGTTCTGCATTTTGCTAGTTTTGATTTACGTTGCAAAAGCTGGCTAAAATGAGCAAATTCCTAAGCGTGCTTCACGAATTTTGTTGCCGTCAGTTATGCTTTAAGGTGCATGCAGTGGGTGCTCGCGTTCACAGAGCATACATATGCTATGTGTTCTGTTGTGTCCAGTCTCATCTACTTCATTAGGTAGTTTTCTGCTCAACAGATAGCAGTTAGTTGGTCAGGTGGCCGTGGTCCGACTAAGATGCGCTTGTCACGGCATCGCTTTTGAAACCTCATAATGACAGTGACTAAAATAAACTGGCAAAGTTAAGCCATTTTACAACATATTTTTCAATACTCGGTCTCGTGGTTAGGCACGGGGGCGGTTAAAATACGCCGCTCACAACAGTTCTCAATATTATGACTACATACGTCGTGCACAATCTTGCCCTGTCTTAATAGCACTCGCCATCGGCACATTGGCATCCTTTCCTCTGCTTCCTCTTTGTCTACAGCGTCTGCACTGTCTGACACTGCTGTGCTTGCCGTGTATATATTTATTGCGTGCAACTGATATTTGTAACTTACTTACATTTACTAGGCGTGCCGTAGATTGAAATCCGAAAAATTTTATGTACGTGTGTGGTGGAGTTTTTTCCAGGATTGGGTAAATCTGTGGCCAATGAATTTATCGACGGATCTGGCTGGGCTGGATCGGCAATTTCCTTCAAACGCGGATCAAGAACGAAAAAGTGCTCAATTCTCCAAACTCAAGAAATTTGTTGGCATAAAAACTTCTGCAGCTGCAATTATTGCCAACTGGTGCTTTAAATGGTGAATTTATTCTGGTCCACGGACTTTTTCTTCCGCCCTACAAGGATCCCCGACCTAGCCGTTAGGTCTTGAAAACAAAGCAAGCTAGAGTTACGCGGCAACACGATTGAAAGGCTCTTGTCACACTGGAGCAGAAACGAGTGACGACACAATAGTGGGTGTGACCTTTGACAAGTCAATTCAGGTCAGGTGGCCAAAATGAGCACTTCGTAGACCCTCTCCCGTTTTCTAAAGAATCAAGCAGGCCACGACGAAGCCGAAGAAGGTGATGAAATGCCACTGAAAGACTTAAATATATGTGACATTGGTGTTCAGACCGTGGGATATTCAAGCATGATCCTGTTGTGCTGGTCCAAATCCTGCTGTTGTGTTATTCTCGTTATTGCGCACCAGGTTAATACCGGCCGATCGTGCCCCAAGAAAAAAGTGTGTCCGGTGACACAACCTTCTGATTATAACAAAATCAGAAGGCCCTTTGTCCGCCCCGGTGGCTCAGTTAGTTAGAGCGCCTGCCTTCCGATTCACCCACCCGTTGCGGGTTGTGTCGAGTCGCTTTATGCGCTCTCGATTCGCCCGTGGCAGGTATGGCCTGCGGCCGGTGGCAGCGGTCGTGCTAAAGGTCAGTTGGCGTCAGAGGACAGGACGGACTGTGCCGAGCATTGCGGCACGTTAAACTTTCGCCTCTCAATTATGCCGTTGCATAGAATTGCGCGATCGAATGGTGGGGGTGAGGGCGCACACAACAAGCGCTTCTTAGCGTGAGCTCTGATCCCAGAAATCCATGCATTCAAACGTTTCGGATCAAATCTTTAACAACTTCTAAAAAAGTAACATAAAATAACTCGAATCTTTTTTATAAAATGTTCATTGTCTCATGCCCAACCTTGTGCAGCGGTTTGTTTTTCAATACCTTGGTGAAGTCGATAACACGGAAAGCTCGTGTCGTTTATTTGTGGCATTGGTGTTGGTGCTCAGCATTATCACCTTCCGAAAGGCAAAAGAGGGAGTTCTGGATATTTCAAGGAATGGAAATGGTAGGTACTGTTGCTGGATGTCGCACGTGCCCAGGCCGGTTTGGCTACCATTAACACTACAGCCATGTTCGTCCCGATGGAAAATATCTGGCTCGTGCGGACATTCTGGATCGCACTGTCATTCCACGATGCGCATCAGTTTTAATCAATCATTTCACTTAACGTGGCCCTAAGGCACACTTCGAATGCCGATGCAACCTCTCCCCCCCCCCCCCCCCCTCCCACTTCTGCTCACGCCGCCTGCCGTTTTTCCATTTGCTGTGTGTGGACCTATTTCTTCCTCGGGCATGACCTTTTATGGGATGCCTGCCTGTTTGGTGAGTAACAGTGTATCCTTTTCTGGATAAATGGGAACGATGGACTAGAATTACGCCTTTAAGGTATAGTAAGATGGTTGTCGGGCCGACCATATACAGATCAGTTCGTTAACACGCGCTCGGGTGGGAGTCAAATTGACTCTCCAAAGGTTTTTCTGCAATGGTTTCCGAACGGAGCGGCGTAGCCGCGTTCGGTTTTGGCAGTTGTAGATAATTGAGTAGCGGATCGTTTGGCATTAAAAAACAAATGTACCTTAAAAGCTCGTTGACCTACGGCAGGTCGAAGTCATGCCATAGATTCAGCGAATTCAATTGTTAGGGAAATGTTCAATCTGATGCAGCAACGGAGTGTTAGACGAATCCAAACAACTCTGAGATACTTTCTTAAGAAACGCAACGACGAATGAACTAATTCCATCGACTTAGGGTCAGGTTTGAAGGTCAGACCAATGACAAAACCAACCCGTTTTGTTACTCCAGGGCTTGCTGTGTGGGGTAGTCTTGGGTGCTCATTTCGAATTTATTGATAACGGGGACCGCATTATGCAACTTCCATGGATTTCTTAAAGGCCAGAAAAGGCCAGCGATCTAAAATGACCCAGGCCAGCATTTCGTTTTACGAACATACTTGCCTAGCGTGATCTTTGTCGTTTATTCAAACTGAAAACTCTACGCAGTCTTGTATGACTGATCGCCATGACCTTCAAAAGATCAAACAAGGTCACTGACCTTAAATGGGCGTGTTGACTTTTGCTTAGAACAGATATCTAGGTTCTGGGGACGCTGAAGACCAAACCGGAGTTTGACCTTGTTTGACCTTAGTTGGCTGAAAGTTCGTGAAATAGGAACCTCAAAATTTGACCAGTGAGTTCATGTATAGGCCAACACACCCTGTAAATTTGGTGTCTCTAGCTCTCTTAATTCCTGAGATCCGGAGAGTTAAATTGATCCCCATCCGGCGAAAGCCATCCAACCGGCCACCCGGGAGCGTGTTAAGCATGGTCCACCACAGTCTTGGTATAATGTAACCGAAATTGTCTCCAAGACGTGGCATTGTTTTTGTTTTTATTGCTATCTCTTCCGATTTTGTGATGCTGAACACCATGGCGTTCAAATGTCTTAAGATGACTTATGTTAAGACAGCAGTAATAGCCTTATTCCTCGGAGAAAAACGAGGAGAATGGAGGTACAGATGCGTTGATAGTTCGGCAACGCGCATTTACTGAAACAATAGCAAGAGCGAATTCAGAGGTGATTTTACTTTTGCCTTTGTTTCGATAAAGGCCTGTTGCCGAAATGTCATCGCATTTATATCCCCATTTTCCTGTTGTTTCAAGTAATAAGACTGTTACTACAGTCTTATCCATGTGAACAATGTTCCTCACAAATGCGCTTAACAGTTTGGATAAATCACGTTACTTAAATGATAGCAATATAAGTCCCTAAATCGATCATAGTAACAGGTTTACTTGCTGTTGAATGACATGAAATAATATCATATGCGCAATTCAACAACAACCAAACGGAGCATCCAACCCCCTAGCACATTTCATTTGTGTTGCATCAGTCACGTGCGATTTGATTAGCATTCCAATTTACTCGAAATCCTTCTGAATAGCTCATAATTTCTATATCAAGTAGCCGACCCTATAGGAGCAAGTTTCATTTGACTCCCTTCTCACCACTATGAAAGTAAAGCAGTTGATTTGTCTCACTTTTCCAACGTGTGTATTCTGTAACTTTTTCAACACACTAATTCGTAAGAATGTTTGTGTACTATATGCTGCGAAAACTAAAAACACTGTTAAAACAAAAGGTATGTGAGCATAAAGCTATTATTTCGCACATTTAACGAAACGTTATGCTATGCCTTGCTTGCCCTCTACGGCATTTACCACAGTGGCTCTTTAAGAGACGCACTTTGGCTTTGGGAATAGGAGTTCCGCATGATTTATGTGACAAACTAGTTCAAACTTCAACCGGTGCGCTCTCGGTAACGGGCCCTTGCCCGTTGGGCCAATCACAAACGTTCTTTCATCCGCACCGGCAGTGGTGCGCGCGTTCGTTGTGACGGCGATGGTCACGTTTCAAAGCGTTGACGGCGTAATTTGGACACGAAAATAATTAAAGTTGATATCCTTATAATGTCTTGCCGGTGCTGCATTCGAGCTGCCCAGTGCTTTTATCACGCGTAACTGGTCCTGAGGTTTCATTTGACCATGTTCTTG